CTTTTGGGGTTTGGTGTGGGACCGGACAGAGCAGGAGCCCAGTTTTTGGCCTCCTCATTCTCTTTTCCTGAGAGGAAGTTTTTTCCCTTCTGCGAAGACACCTCGCAGAGAACAGCAGAGAGAGAGAGAGACCGACCCATCTTGGAGCAAGGCATTCTGCTTTATGATCTGTCTGCACAGAAATTCTTTGGATAAGTATACATATAGTTGATCTATGTTTCTACTCTATATGATTTTTTTTTCTTAAGTCTTGAATGCCTCTAGATTTTAGTGATTTTTGGTAGTGAATTTTTGAGAATAATAATCCTGACTAGGCACAAATAAATATGATGCAGTTAGGTTTAGAAAACATATCCAATATATAGGGTAAAATGTCTTCAGCCCAGTGAGGAAGAATTTTAGAAAGCTGTAGCCAAGGTACCTCCCATTTACCTCATGACTTTAGTTCTCCTCCATTGAACTTTGCACAGAGCAAGTGTTGTGCACATTTAGCTGGTAAGGAGGCCTGTTGCCAAGGAGATGCCACCAGAAAGGGGGGGAAATGCAATTGCAGAGGGAAATATTTGTTGCAGAGTGGTGCTAATTTTGGCTGAGGAGGTTTTCATCTTGCTCAATGTAATTTCACAGACAGTCTGGACTTCCTCTTTCCCTGTTAGACTCTGTGGGGGCAGAAGGATGGGAAAGGAAACTGCCTGGTTCTTTCCGTGGCAGGATGAGAACCAAGACATTCTTGGAATTTATGTGCTAGGTTAGAAAGTGTCTTTTGAAGCAAAGAGAATGACTTTTGGCTGAGTCCATTTGCATGGGAATATTGCTCCCCAGGAGTTAGAAGGCAATGATTCACACAGTTGTGACTCAGCCCTGAGATGAGGTGAGGTCCTGCACAGGAACCCCTGTTGCAGGAAAGCAGTGGCTGTGGATTGTCTTTTCCTTCCTTGGCAGTAGCTGGCTGTTGGAGCAGTCTGGCTGGACTAACAAGCATGTTCTCAACTGGAATTGCTGCCATGAACCTGGTAAAACACGTGCTTACTGTTGTGGAGATGACTTTCAGGTGGTTGGCAACATACCCTGTAACCCATTCCTCTACCCAAAACAGCTTCATGGGCCTTCAAGTTCTTTAGCAGCATGGCATCCCAAAAGGAGCTGAGTCAGGCAATGTTTCCAAAACAATCCTATTTCTCAAGGATGTGGGTGCGCCTCAGGGAAAATGGGGGAGGATGGGGAAAACTGGCATGTACCTCAAGGGGATTTAACTTCAGGGGAAGATCAGTCATTAAACAGTGATGCTATCCATGCTCTTATTAATCTCTAGGAATGTTTGTTTATAGGTGCTGTACCTGTGGCTAGTTTTCAGGTCTGGTGTTGTATCCTATCCCAAACTCCTGTCCAACATGGAATTGTTTTGTAACCTAACAGAGTGGGACTGCACAAGGTAAATCATTCACAACCTTTAGTTGAATCACAGCACAGCTGAAATTGCAGCTTTTTTTTTCCAATTTGAAAAAAGAAAGTGAGAAAAAAGTGGAAGTCAGAATCTTCATCCTTCCTGTCTTGTGTCCAGGCTGTTTCAGACGATGTCATTGAAAATGGGTGATCTTGCTTCTATAGTCATGCTCTATGCTGTCTAAAGGATGTAAATCCTCCTGAGACTTGGAACTTTCTCATCCTTTTCCCACAAACACAGAGAGATGCTTCTCAGTGTCCACAGCCTTCTCTGAAATACACAGAAACAGTCATTTCTTTCTGAGGAAGTGATTTCTGTGAAATGTTTCTCAATTGCTCTGGTCATGTGCTGGGGACAGGGTTATTTCTGACTCACAAGCTTATTCTGATTAAGTTTCTCCTTACTCTCCCTCCTTATCTAACAATACTCTGTTCAGTTCAGCAAGATGTGAGAAAGTAGCATGTCAAGGTATCTTCCATTCATATGCTAGAAGAAGATCTATTATCAATTTATTGTGACAATATTAGTCATCTGTTACTTTATCAACATGTCCCTTGCTTTCTTAACCAGTGCATTTTTAACGTCTCGTGATATCTTGCACATCTAGAAAATACTGCAAGTGAGAGTTTCCATGATGAGGTCTTTGGCTGACAACTGATCATGTCTGTTATTTCCTATAATGAAGGGGAAAAATGGTTCTCTCTTTTTCAATGTAGAAATTTTCACCATCCAAAAGTCCACCTGATCATCAAATTTATGACTTGAATTTAATGTTTGTAAAAAACAAAAAAGGTCTGGAAATTAGGGAGCAGAGACTTCAGAACAAATTAAAAAAAAATAAAATTAAATGTTCCTTGTATCCTAAAATGAATCCTCTTTCCTAAGAGGCCTTATTTTTAACACTGCACTAGTTTTCAATGCAATCCTGACATATCTTAACCTAAATCAAAATTCCATCTTAAGATGCATATTGTTACAGGAAAAGAGGGAATGGTTTTAAACTGAAAGAGGCTAAGTTTTGATTAGATAGTAGGAAGAAAATAAAGTTATATAATACATGTTAGTATGACAATTGCTATCCTCAAGTCTTTGGTACAGTTGCAATTTTTACAGTCACCAGTTAAAATACAAATTCCTAAGAACTTTAAGAACATAACAAAGATTTTGGTCCTGTGTTATTTTTTATTCGAACATTAGGTTTGTTGATATATAACTTTCTGTTTGTATCTTATTTACAAAAAAAAGTAAGATGTGTTGAAACCCACTGTAGAGAAAATAATTTCTTATCAAGCCTCATCTTTTTCTTAAAAACTACAAATAATGTCTTTTGTAAATGCAGTTTTCTCTCTCAGACTATTCTTGAACAGTTGAAATAATTTTTTTAAATATGTATCTAGCTTTTTGACCTTCAGATTTTGTCCCAGTCCTCATAATTGTCCCTTTCGATAATATTTTACAATTCACACTCCTTCCTGCAGAACATATGTTTAGAAGAGGCCAGTGGGACTCACATTTCCTTGAAAGCTGACACTTTGCCATACTTGTTTGTTGCTTCCTTTTCTGTTTGAAAATGCAAAATGCTGTTTTCCTCAGTAGTTTCTCCCACAATCTAAAGCTTTTGCCCTGACTTAGTGTCCTTTGGAACTCATTTCTTTACAGGCTCCCTCCCCAAGACTCAACAGCAGTTCCCCCCAGAGCAAAACACCTTGGCTGGTTTTAAACATCTTCATGGTCTCCACCTCTAGCAGATAAATCCGGTGTGTGGGTGACACAAGAAGTGAGATTTACCTTTCACTGTTTTCATTTCTGACTAGCACCGAACTGCCTTAATCTCCAGTTGGATTTTCCTTCAGTGACCCCACTGAGATATTTTTGCCATAAGGTTACTTTTTCCAGCAAAACATGTTGATTTGCCAAACTGGAAACTGAGAGCAAAAATATGTTTCCAAAAAACCAAAAATGTTGGATTTTTATGTCATGCTCCGGGCTTGTCTAATTCAAGCTGTAAACATTTGTGTAAAAAATAAAATAACAAAATCAGAGAAGATTAATTTGTGAAAAAGAAAAACACAGAGGAAGTGGAAATAAATCACTTTCAATCAAACTTCTGCCCTTGTCAGGGATTTCCTTGTAAGCAGTGTGTCCTGGTTAGAAGTCCTGTGACTTTCTGTGTCTTTCTCAGTTTGATGGATTTCATGAATTTCCACAGTGGCCCCAGGGCAGCTTCTCCCTTTCTTCAGTGACAACTGATGCAGAGCTTCTTGCATCTGCTGCTTGCTGAAGTCTCCAAGATAAGACCTGTGGCTCCCAGGGAAGAGGTGTTTCCTTGCCCCTTGCCTTCAGGAGAGCCCTACGTGATCAAAGGGGACATATTCCAGAAGTTGGAATAGGAAAATGAAAGGGCAGCCATCTGAAGAACAACATAAGAGAGCTCTCCCAGTCTCTCCAGTTTGCACTCCACCTGAGTGCAAACTGAGATCCCCTCCATCTCAGCTTCCTTCTGAAATAAGAGAGCAGCTCCGGGTTTCTGACATGGACATTATTCTGTTATGGCTTCATGTTCTTACTTTGCTCTTTGGGGATCAAAAGTCAGGCAAAGAACTACAAATATATTTCCAAAGCCTCTTGTTGAATAGGGGTAGTGAAGAGGATTGCTTGTCTGAGAAATATAAAAATGTGTTTTCCAGGCAGAAAGAGGCAGTTTCTCCTGTATAATTCCATTTTCACTACCTTTGACCACAACATGATGAGTATAAATTCTCTGATTAAACAAAAGATATTTTCCCCCAGAGAGAACTCAGGCCATCACCATCAGTTCATCAAGGAGCTTTCTCCATCCTGCAGGTTAAGGAGAGAGCCAGGAATGTCACCATTTTAAGTAGGAATGATTCTGCCTCAAAGGACATGGTGAAAAAAATGGCCCAAAAAGCCCAGGGTCCCAAGAGCCATTGAAGCACATTGGAAGAGCTTTGGTAACATTCCCTGTTTGCTGATCACATCTCTGTTTTCCTGGTACCACTTGCTTCTGGCATTGGCACTAACTTGTCGAAGAAGGAAAAAAACTTCAGGCACAATTTTGTGCTTCAATCATTCCCCAGGAAAAAGAGGGCAGTGCACTGTGTTGTCAGTCCATGTAGATCACTCTCACACTTCTCACCAGCTTCTTCCCTGGTAACTCTGGGTTTGATTGTCCTGTTTTCTGTCCAGATGAGCTTCTACTGTGACTCTGTTTTTCAGGCATTGCTGGTCTCTGCTGCTCTGCATCCTGTGCCCTTCCTCAGCATGTCCTGAATCTGATACACCTTCCCTGACCTTCACAGGACCAGGGGGGATTTCATGCACAGAGCTGTGGTGGTGGAGGATCATTCCTCTTGTGGTGATTCCCATTTCAGCCCCACAGGGTCTGGTACCCTGTCTGGGTTTTTAACAGCCAGTCTTGTCCAGAGGAAGGTTTATACACACACACAAGTGACTTTGTCCTGTCAGTCATATCTGTGGGACAGGGCAGGAGCCAAACTGCACTTGTGGCTGCAGGGCAGAGCAGGGCATGGCAGGGCTGGGAAGTGTCTTCTTGTGGACAGGCAGGACTGGGAACACATGGGCAGAGATGGATGTGTTTGTGAGAGACAGGATCTGTTGGGGATCACAGCTGTCCCCCAGGCTGGACTCATCTCCCCTGACTGGGGCTGCCTGAAAGTCAGAGCTCTGGGAGGAGCAAGTCCCAGACTCCCACTGTGGGCAAATGCAGGTTCCTCTGGAGGGGGATCCACCCAGTCTCAGACTCCCATCTTGTGAAAGGGTGGGCTGAGGTTGACAAGAGGTCTGGAGGGAGCCTGCTGGAGCACCTTTGACTGCATATTTGGGCAGCTAAAAATGAATGACAAAAATCCCATCCACATTTCCTACAGGAAGCTAGGGATAACATTCCTGCCTGAAGCTCTTCTTTTTAGCTCTCTCTCTGGCTTTTGTTGCAGCTTTTTTGAAAGAGTTGCAGCTTTTTCACACATATTTTGTGTTGAGTCGGCTCCCTCGCAAGATGCAGTGTGTACTTCCGTAAGTCGAATGACTGTGCAGAGATAGTTATCATGAGGTTTACTTACATGAAACCTGAAGAGGGAGAGAAAGCCAGGTTTAGTTGCATTCCTGACACAGCTGATGTGATGCAGTGAAAGGCACAGTGGCCCCTGGCCTTTCTGCCAAGCTTGTCAGTGGGAGCAGAAACTGCCTTCTTGGAGTTTCCCTCCCACTCCTTACTTTTCTTCCCCCATTCTCGACAAAAGTTTTTGGGCAAAGCTTTCCCATCCAGAGACCCTCCCCTGCTTTGGTCTCCTCCATCCTCCATCTGACATCATACTCTCTCTTCTCCCTGCCTCCTCTATCCTTCCTTTCCCTACACAACTCCATCAGTCAGATCTTTCCTTCCCCACCAGAACTCCAGCTGTGTCCTCTCTTGCCATCCTGATGGGACCTTCCTGTGTTCCCATGGGACTTCAAGGCTCCCTCTTCCTTGTCACAGGAAGCTGAAGCATCTGTATTTCAAGGAATCAGGTTCCTCCCAATCCCAGTCCCTGATCTCACTTATGCTCTTGACTGTCTGCTCTGGCTTTGGGGTTTTTCCTGTTTCCAGACATTGCCTGACAGGGACTTGCTGCAATGAGCTTACAGGGCTGGGTCATGTTCCACGTTGTTAATCCACTTCCACTTCTGCTCCCCCTCAGAGTATGTGAGACCAAGTAAGTAGTAATTGCCTCTTGATCGTTCGGCGAGGTAATGCTTGAAAGGAAGCAAACCATGACAATACGTTAAAATTACATTTTCTTCACCAGAGGTACAGAAAGCCTGTGCTAAATGGCCAACACAGAGGGCACAGTGAGCATCCAGCTACGCCAAGTAGCTGCCAGCAGATTAGAGACCCCAAACACATCCAACAGGAGCAGACACCAGTGGAACTCCTCAGGCCTTTGCCTTGTAGCCCAAATTACCCTGGAATAGCCCCATGGATTTAGATCTCACCAGTTCTTCCTTGTTGTCAATGATCACCAGGTCTGAACCCATGGCAGTACATTGTTCACGGGAGGCATTCCAGTCCTTTGGAGGAACAGTATTTGGAGGAAAGAAGTAACATTTTCTCCCATGTTTTTCCCATTGTTCCGGGCAGGCTGCAGGAGGGAAGAACAGATATGAGAAAATCGATGTTCACACTCACAAAACGATCCCATGACAAAAGAGAGGTAAGAGAGGAAATCAGAGCCAGAGAAATGCCTCTGTGGTCCTGCTTAGAATTGTACCAGACCCCCAGGGATCCCCAACAGTCTCTGGAGCTGATCCCAGCCCAAGAGTCACCAGGCATGAGGCATAGAGGGAGCACCACAAAAAACATTATCCAGCCTTGCCACTCTTTGCTCAGCAGATAGAGAGAAATGATCAGGGCAAAAAAAAACATCTTTCAGCCATGGTGCTGCTAAGAGATTGACCATTTCTCTCCACTGCCAGGCAGGGACCACAAGGAACAGAGAATGGGACCCAGAAAGGGGGATGAGATTCAGGGAGACAGGGCCTGCATGAGACACTTTTGTTGGGGATCCAGCAGCTCCTAAACAGCAGAAGGCAATTGCACTGAGTTAAGATGCCAAGAACGGAGGGGGATTGGAAAAGCAGTCCAAGTACGTTATCCATCTTGCTCACTGCAGTGCTGGAATACCAGAGGAATTGTTATTTCTGTGCCTTCCCCTGCCACAGACTTCTCTGCACTGGCAGGAGAGAGACATCAGCTCTTCCCACCTCTGAGACAGAAGTCCAGAGCTGACCCAACCCTGCTCCTAAAGGAGATGCAAATGGGAAACATCTCTGGCCTCCAGAGTTCATCCTGGGAGTGTCTGGGATAAGGTTTTGATTCCTGAGATGGCTGAGGTTTTATGTGTTTGTTTCCCTGTAGGAGACGTACCCCGGGGATACAGGGTGGGGCATTCTGGGGTTTGGGTCTCCAGAAGTACACTGACACACATAGGTAGTGTGTATTCTACTGTGATTGGGTCTAGGTGAATCACATGCCCCCCAAGGGTATATATTGGGGGCTTTTCCTTCAAATAAAGGATTTGGCTGTTTACAATCCTCGCTGCCGGGTCTTGTCTTATTATATTATATTAATAAGCCATATTTCCCTTCTGAACAAAATCTAGACACAGCCCCTCTCCTGCTGCCCTTCAGAGGCAATCCAACAGGCTCCTGGAATCTCTTTGGAATGACAGAGCATTACCTACCTAGTGCCTCTTCAGGGACTTGGGGCAATGTTGTTGGGCTGCTTGCAGTTGAATGGTCTGGAAAATAAGAATACAATTTCTACTTGGAATGAAGGATTGTTTTTCTATATGTTGTCAAAGCTGTCCTGGACTTCTTTGACATCCCCATCACCCAGCATAGAATGCCCCCTCTACCTTTTTGCTCATCCATTAAAAAATACCCCTCAAAACAGTCCTTCCTATTGCAGGGCAGATTTCTAAAGAGCCAAACTCTGAAACTGAACCAGAATTGCCCCACACCTTTTCAGAGCAGTGGTGACTGTAATGCACAGCACACACAGAACCACGGCAAGAGGAAACAGGAGCCATTTCTGGGAGCTCAGGGCTCCAGCCAATGTGCCCTTGGCTCAGCCCATTTCCCACCCAGCCTGGAGCTGTGGGCACTGTCTGCTCCTACCCCGAACAGCCCCAGGCACATATTGGAAGCTGCTCCAACAGTGCTACTCCCCCAGGCCAGAACGAGAAAGCAGAGTTCCTGTGAGGTTTTAAAAACCTTCATCAGTTGTGATTGATCATGGAAGCCTCTCAAGCTTGTTCAGCTATCAAAGGATGGGAAAAATACAATCAAGCCCAACTGAAATTTAAAAATGATTCCTTGAAGTTGTAAATACACTTCCTTGAGTTATGACTTAGCTGCCTCTATAAAATGACCTTTTATTCATAATTATGTAAAGATTTTGCTGTCACAGTCATCTTGTTGACATGATACAATATCATTGCCTTGAAATATTCTCACCAATAGCTATCCTAATACCAAAAGGTATTATTTTATCTTGATTTCTTTTCTCCAAAACATCTGTGTAATAAATTCTTTAGTATCTGAACATTGTCACTTTTTCAATTGGGTGTTGGTTTTTTGTGTTGTTGTTTTGATACTTAAACTTTCAAGCCACTCTACTCTCTTACAGATTTCCTCTTTCAGACACAGTTTGTTAAAAACTGCTGTCTTTTGCCTTCAAACTGTCCTTCTGTCGATACTGGCATTGGAGGTCATGACTTAGACGTCATTGGGTGAGTGAGAGGCTGTTATTACATTTATTTCAGAACTTACACTGGTGTACCAGACACCCTGCCAGGACCAGTAGGAGGATTATCACAACCAATAGAGCAACCAGTGCAGCAACATGTTTTCTGGAACAGCTTCTACCTACAGATAAAAAAATTAAGGTTAAAGATTAAGAGCTGGAAAAAAGCCCTTTCCTCTTCACTCCCAGGTGCCTTTTTCAGGCTCACTCTGGGAATCTGAGGTCTTCCAGATTTGCCTGCTGAAGCCAGGCTGAATGTCCTGGTGCTTCCCAGATGGCTCTGGACACCTGGGCTTGGGGAACTGAACAGCATCGCAATATGGAATGTGTTTGAGGAACAGGTTAAAGGGAAGAGAGTCCTCATAGCACTGACTTGTATAAGGACAACTAGAGAGTGGGTGGGTAAGAGAGGGGAACTGCACCAAGGAGAGGGTGACTGTCAAAAAGGTGCTAAAAATGTCTGCTCAGAGAGACTGAAATCCACAGAGGCAGCCTGGGGGTTATTGAAGGACAGCACCTTGGAACATGTGGCCAATACAAGGCACCTACCAAGAATGCTCTAGGAAGAAGCTAAAGGAAGGTGACACAGCTGTGAAGAGCAGATTGATGATCCAGTAAAGCAGAGTATAATGACCACTTCCAAGGGACATTAGGTGGCTGATAGCTGGATTGCTAGTGCTGTTTTGGAATCCCACTCGTAAAGCTCTCTTTGCACCCAGGGGCTAGAAAGTAAGAGATCTACTATGAACTCAAGTCAAAAAAACAATAGAGGAGATCTGTGGACATCAGCTCTGCTTTCCTGATCACACAGCTACGGAATGGTTTAGATTGGAAGTGACCTTCTCACATCACCTACTCCAACTGCCCTGCTCAAGCAGTATTGACCAGAGCAGGGTGTCCAGGACCAGGCACAGTCAGGTTTTGAAGATCACCTGGAATGATGACACTAAATCCTCTTGCATTACAAATCATAGTCTCAGTAAGTCCCTGAGGGAAATGTGAAAGTATTGCATGTGAAACTATTGCCGGAAGGTATCGCACATGCACACTCTCTGCTACTTCAACTCCAGTTGTTGACTTTTCAGTGCTGTTGGCGACAGGAGGCTGGGTTGGGTGATTTCTTAGTTTGGCCCATAATATCCTTATTTTCCTTTGTCAGTGAAGCTGACAGGGGGTTAGCTGCATATAATGCAACATTTGAGTTCTCCCTGCTCTGATGATGTAGAGCGGACAATTGCTTGTTCCTGTCTCTCACACAAGTTTATATCACTGCATTTTTGGAACATAAGGTATGGACCCCTCTGCCCTTCTCATTTAAAGCCCTAACAATTTATCACACAGCTAAAAACTCACCAGCTGACGTCTGTCCTGTTGCAGCATTTGTGTCTCGGGAATTCAGTTTCACTTCCGCGTATGTAGAACCTGAGCCCGAGCAAAAATAACAGAGTACACAGAGAGCTGAAAAACAACTTAAAGGAAACAGAAATGACTGAAATTATAAGAAATTATGAGCACATGAAAACAACTTAAGTGTTTAAATATGCCTAAGTAGTATTTTTCTCCATTAAAGAAACCGATTCTCTTCTCTGTGGTGACCAGTGACAGGACCTGAGGGAACATCTGGAGCTGTGTCAGGGGAGGTTTAGGTTGGATCTCAGGAAAAGGTTCTTCCCCCCGAGGGTGGCTGGGCACTGAACAGGCTCCCCAGGGCAGTGGTCACAGCACCGAGGCTGACAGAGCTCAAGGAGTGCTTGGACAACACTCTCAGGCACATGGTGGGATTGTTGGGGTGTCTGTGCAGGGCCAGGAGTTGGACTGGATGATCCTTGTGGGTCCCTTCCAACTCAGAATATTCTATGGTTCTATATTCTATGATGATACATTCACATCCTGTTGGACTTGCTCAAAGCAGGAACAGATCTGGCTTTTCTTCAGTGCAGAAAATAACAGAGGAGACATGGGCACACGCACACATTTGCAATGTAGACAAAAGTGAACAAAAATGTCTTGAGAGAGAGATAATACCTGGGAAATATTTTGCATAAATTCAGTGAACACATAGAAGCAAAGAGTTGGTAGGGGGTTCCCTGAAAGGCACAAGCAGAGAAAGAAAAAATGTTGTTCAAACTCTATAAAAACTCTACATAGGAATATATGGATTAAGTGATAAGGCAAATGGAACTTTTAATCAGGTGGCATCTCTTGTGGTTGCCTGTCCATTTAGCCGTGACATTATCTGTTGAAACAGGTGATAAAACACAGTTTCTTGGTGTGTGAGAAACTCCACCCATCTGAAAGTAGATAAGCAGGATTTACACTTTCTATAAAAGATGAGCACAGAATAACAAGGAATTATTTTTATCAGAGATAGGAAGATTAAAAAGAAAGAGAAGAAAAAAAATGAACAGAGACACAATGTATGAAGTCTGCTTTTCAGGAACTAATGTCACGCAGATGTAGCAAAACCAATGCAAAAGGTTGTGCAATAATTTTTAGTGCATTAAAGAAAGCCAAATCATAGGTTAGAATTTTGTGAAGTCTTTGCTATTAAATCACACCAAACCTGTCCATGAAACATTTTGTTCTTGATGTATTCAACAAGTAGTTTGCACAGACTAAGCCAGGAGGAAAAGCCCCGAGGCAATGCCTGCTGTTCTCAGGGAGCAGAAACAGCCTGTGCCTGAGACTGCTGCAAACACCAGGAACAGGAGGCACTCAATCCTGATCCCTTTGCTGCAGGAATCAGAGTCTGCTGTGCTAGGGGAGAACATGCCTGGTTCAGGGCCAATGGGTGTTCAGCTGTGGAACAGTCTCCAAAATTGATAAAAACTACTCTTTATATCAAACAAGATACTCTCCCTTACACTTTCACCTTAAAAATTAAAAGTACACCTTAGTACAATCCCCCCTACATTTTTTTTATGGTATCTGGACAACCCACTTGCACATTTTTCCCAACACTGGCCCTTACATTTCCTTCATGCTCTTTGGGGCTTTGGTCTTCCATGGCACTCCTTCAAAATATGTGGAAAACAAACTGAAGAATGCAAAGAAAGCTCAGTGCACACCAAGTGACCTACCTTGAACATCAATGACCTGCTGTACTCTGGGTCTGGCTGATTCAGGCAGGTTCAAGTCAGCATAAATGATATTTTCTGCCATTCTTGCTCCCCCTTGTTCTTCTTTCCTTCACTGCTGTTCTTACAATGACACTCTGGCCTGAGTATGACTCAGAGCTCCCTCCCCTCTCTAACCTTCAGGGGGAAGTTCTTTCCTTTTCCGGTCCTACACAAACTCGTAATGAAAAGAGAAGTCTAGTCTTAGCTCATCTTTTGATGGCAGAGTGTTGTCATGTAAGAAACAGAAGTAAATGTAAGCTCATGGCCTCCAAGTGGCAGCCTTTGTTGGGAAGTGGTTCAGGCATTAGCGGTGTCTTGAGTTTCCAAGTCTTCGTACACAAACACATGCACGCACACACACAGCCATCGTGATTTGAAAAGCCAACCTTTATTCCCGGAAATGGAAAGCAGAGGAAAGTGCAGGGATCCAGCAGTCGGCCCCAGGGAGCAGAGGGAAGCTCTCCGGGTGGGCCCATGGCACATCCCGCAGAGCAGCCCCGTGGGCTCCAGCAGGCCCTGCTCTCCAAAGCAGACATCTGAAAGTGGGACACGCTGGCCCTGAGCCAGAAAGGAATGGACTCGAACCTGCTGAAACAGGACCCTGCCACACTCGGGGGGGTCACGTGTCTGCAATTCTTCAGAACCAGACCCAAGTTAACTTGCTGTGTCATGAGGAACGTGGGGTTTGTGCAGCTCAGAAACATGTTCTTCCTCTCTGCAGGTAAATTCTGAGGGCAATGGGGATTCATAAGGGGGATTGGTCCAGGCTGTTCCAACAGTGCTTAATATGCAAAGGCAGCAACTGGTATAGGTCAGCCTAAACAAGATAAACCCCTGGCTTTCCAGGTTCGTGATTCCCACAGGAACTGATAGAGCAGGACGTGGCATCCATGTGGACATTGTGCTGGGAATAACTGTGGGAGGAAATATCCCAGCTCACAGCAGCATTTACCAATGGAAAAGGCCAGATTTATTTGGGGTTTGTGCCGATGGCAGAGAGAATCTGGCAGGATAAGTGCAATGCCCAGGCTGATGTGCTGCTGGGCAGCTGCTCAGGGAGAGGCAACAGTGTGTGCCCAGTTGGCCCAGAGGGCAAACCCATCTTGGGGGGAATCAAACACAGCCCCCCCAGCCCGTCAGAGAGGGGATCATCCTGCTGTGCCTAGCGTTGGGGCGGGATTCCCCGGAGTGCTGGGGGCAGTTCTGGGCCTGTCAGGATTGAGTCCCAGCTGGCAAATAATCCCCAGAAAGGTGCTGGCTCAGGACCCCTCCAGGGGGATGGGGGAGAGGAAAAGGGAGATGGGGAAGGGTAAAATCGGGAAAAGTCCCCCAGCAAAGAAAACATTGAATCTTTGGCTTTCAGGTGCAGTTGGTGGGGCAGCCTGGGCACTCCATGGGCAGCAAGAGCTTTCTGTCCTGGCGCCTTTTGGCTGGAAGGAATCTTCATCCGTGTGGAATTTTTGGAGTCGGACTGGCAGTTTGTGCACCACTCTTGGCACTACATGGACAGCAAGAGCTTTCTGGGTGGGCACCTTTATTCTAGGAGGAATCTTAGTCCATACTGAATTCTGGCAATCGGCCAGCCTAACCCTAACCCTATCCCTAACCTATCCCTAACCCTAATGCTAAACCTAACTATAACCCAAACCCTAAACCCTAACCCTAACCATAACTAAACTTAACCCTAACCCTAACTCTAACTATAACCCTAACCCTCACCCTAACTAACCCGAAAACAAGCCGTAACTCTAAACCTAACCCTAACCCTAACTCTAACCTTGACCCTAATCGTAACTAACTCTAAACTGCACCTTAAACTTAACCCTAATTCAAAACCCAAACCCTAAACCTAAACCTAACCCCTTGAATTTTGGCAGTCAGACAGTCAATTTCATCCCGGTGCTCCTGCCAGAGATCGACAGCCCTTCCACCCAGGAAAGAAAGCCCTGACCCTCCATCTCTTGTGTGTAGTTGGTGCGCCACTCTTGGCACTATGTGGACAGTCAGAGCTTTTTGGGCTGGCACCTTTGTTCTGGGAGGAATATTTGTCCATTTTGAATTTTGGCAATAGGACAACCTAACCCTAACCCAATCCCTAACCCTATCCCTAATCCTAATCCTAACCCTAACCTTAATCGTAACTAACTCTAACCCCACCCTAAACTTAACCCTAATTCAAAAACCTAACCCTAACCATAAACCTAATCTTAATCCTAACCACAACCCCAACCCGAATGGCTGCCCTTCCACCCAGGAAAGAAAGCCCTGACCCTCCATCTCTTGTGTGCAGTTGTTGCACTGCTCCTAGCACTACATGGACAGCAAGAGCTTTCTGGGCTGGCCCCTTTTTTCTAGGAGAAATCTTTGTCCATCTTGAATTTTGGCAGTCGGACGGCCAATTTCATCCCGGTGCTCCTGCCAGAGATCGACAGCCCTTCCACCCAGGAAAGAAAGCCCTGACCCTCCATCTCTGTGTGTAGTTGGTGCGCCACTCTTGGCACTATGTGGACAGTCAGAGCTTTTTGGGCTGGCACCTTTGTTCTGGGAGAAATCTTTGACCATTTTGAATTTTGGCAGTCGGACGGCCAATTTCAGCCTGGTGCTCCTGCCAGCAAAGGACAGTGTCAGAAACTGAAACGGTTAATGATTTATGTATTCTAGGAGACTTTTGCAGGCTTTTGACTTTTGCATTATACCTCTGATGGGCAGTTGGGCCCATCCCTCCCTCCAGTGCTGAAGGTGTCAAGCCCTGAAAAGGCAGGAAGAGCCAAGTTTACCATGCCCTCCACATGAACTCTGTGCCAAAACGCTGGGGGCTTTGTTACTATGCCCCTCAACTCTGCCATCGTGATTGCCAATCATGAAAGGCGGGAAAAATATTGGGGGTTCATGGCACAGCCGGTGACACTACTCCATGGAAACAACTCCCCGCCTCAGGGGAGGTGCAAAAGCATGCTGAAGGCATATATATTGACTGGTGACTTTGGGGATTTGGGTTTTGTTCTTCGCCCCCACTGCCTGTGAATGGAGACCATTGCTTTCAGGATTACCAAGTTGCATCGCTGGATCCAGTGGGCAGTGACTATATCCACTCTCATCTTTTCTTTTTCCTTACTTTCCCTTGCTCTTATCCTGTCTTTCTCTCCCCTACGCATTTTCTCCCCCCCACAAGGTTGTCTCTATGTCACATTGTTATATGACAACACCCAAAATGCTAGCATAAATGTTGAAACAAAATTGTTAAAGTGAACCCTACCTATATATGTTTTCAGACACCAATTATTCAGTGTCATTTTACTCTAATCCACCCCAAGGGAATTACTGATGAGAACTTGGGTTACCCCCCTCCCCTTTTCCTGGGGCGGGTCGTAACAGACAGCCCTTCCACCCAGGAAAGAAAGCCACAGCTTGCAGGCTGCTATGTCTCATCTGGGTCCCCAGAAACTGTCAGCAAAAGCTGGGGAATAAAATCTCTGATCAGTTGGTTAGGTTCCAGAGGTGACCTTACTGTATTCAGCGCTGAAGGTACGCGGGAATTGCTCTCTAGCCCATGTACATCACTTCTCCAAACTTTTAACTATTTCTACATTTTAGCAAACAAAGGAATTCATGTCCATTGGCTTACCAGTTCTCTAGTTCTCTGCATAAATTCTTACTCTCTCTTCTATTGGCTGTCGATTTCTCACTTTGCATGATAATTAGTCCACACTTTTTGTCCTTTTCTTGTCTTTTCCCTAGATAGGGAGAGCCTCAGTAACTGTCTGTGTTACTTTTGTCTTCATCTCTGGTTTCTCTAAGGGTCTTTGTGGTTTAGAAATTCTGCATTCTTGGTGTCCAGGTCTCAAAAATAGATGTCTCTGCCAGGTCTATGACCACTGAAGAATGACAGGCCTTAAACTTTTAATTTGTTTTCCTAACAAATGGACATGGCCCAGAACTTGTCCATCATCCATCTGCCCAGCCGAGAGCCAACCTCAGGACAAGGCAGCCGTCATGTCCCATTCTCTGACAGTGCAAAAAGGTGTCACTGGTTTGTACCATTTCCTTCTCTACAGCAAATGAACCATGAAAGCCATCCTGTCAGATCCAAGAGCTAGCAAGATATACCACGTCCAGGACACCCCTCCAAGACACCCATGTGCATTGCCCTGCAGCCAGAATGATACCATGTTAAGGGCTGAGAAGATCTCTCTACCCGTGAACTCTCAGCACCTTCCCACCCCACATATCCCATTCACTTCTCTCTCTGCCCTCCATGCCTGCAGGCAGTGTCCTCAGCCCTGCTGGGCTGTGCAGAGGAGCTGCTCCTGGGCAGAGCTGTCTCTCTGCAGCACTGCCCGCTTGCCAGGAGCCCCCTCTGTGCCAGGAACCCAAACCAGCGACAGCCCAAGGCATCCCTTTCTCTGCCCCTCTGGGTTCCCTCCAGGTGTCCGTGAGGCTCCAGGAGAACCTGCTGTGGACAAGACTGAGAGAGTAACTGTTGTTTTTTCCCCTCACCTAGGCAGAGACACTTTCTTCCTGCAGTGTCATCCCTCTTAGTGGAGCCTTGTCTGCAGCAGAGCCTGCTAGCTCTCGGATCTGACAGGATGGCTTTCATGGATGCTGTAGAGAAGGAAATGGTACAAACCAGTGATACCTTTCTGCACTGTCAGAGGATAGGACATGATAGCTGCCTCGTCCTGGGGTTGGCTCTCGGCTGGGCAGATGGATGTGCAGTTAGGGGGGCCCAAGACTCTCCTTCGAAAAAGGGTCTTGGCACTGTGGGGTGATGAAACAGGATCAGAACTGAAGGGAACTTTTAAGAGGAAGGTCCAGGTGAGGGTTGCTTGAAAGTGAAGAAGTCTGAGCATAGAATTTTCTACTCGTGACTGACAAATTAAAAATCATCTTTTGCATTTTGGTGGGGAAGTGGGACTTTTCAGCTTTTCTGCTGACAGATATATAAATCTAAGGGAAGCATCAAAAGTCCCTCTGTTTCAGCCCACAGAGAGCTCCAATATCAGCTCTACAAATTCTCCCTGACCTTGTATCCTTTTGCAGAGGATCCTGGTGATGCTCCATCTTTTCTTCTCTTCTTCTCTATGCTTCTCATCTTCTTCACCTCACCTTGCTGGGGAGGCAGGGGTATCA